CTTCAAAAGATACACTAGATAGTGATAAAAAAGGGGCAGAATCTGAATCATTTCAGATTCACTCCCTTTGTCACTCATATCCTCTTTTTCTTTTCCAGAATGTGACATGCTAGGTGATTCTCAGGCAGACCCATTATCCTCACCACTCAAAGTGTCTCTTTTAGAGAAATAATCTGGATGATCCTTCCCTAGCCATGCACTCGCAATCGCAAAAGCATGAAGAATCACATCTTCCCTTTGAACATATTTCACTGCTTTCTTATTAGAACTTGCTGTGAAGGCTTTTGCTTTCTCAATACATTAATCATACTCCCCAAAATGAAATGCCTTCACCCTCTTAAACTTTTCAAGATTATACGAGTCTCTAGTGCAGAAAGAAATGAGAATCAGCCAACAGAGTCGGATAATAAAAATCACATATCCAAATAGTCTTTTTTCAATATATATCTAAATATCAATAGAGAAAAGAAAAAGAAATATGAAGACCACCTAATCATCAACATGTTAAAAAGTTTAATCAAGTTCCAGATTTACCAATTCTTTTGAAAATTTACTAGATTCATCAACAACAAGAGAAGGTCAAACTCTCATCCTCAAGCATTCTTTCCAGAAAGTATGAGAAGAACCAACTAATAAACTAATAACTACGAGTAAAACCGGTCTATATACAGAAGTTAAGGGAAAATAAACTCGCAAGATTTTAAATAAAACAAAACTCACATGCTTGCATCCTCGCAGCCTAGAAGCTTAACGGAAACACCGGATCTCAGAGAAACTAAGCAACCCTCGGAGAGCTCATCAAGGCCACAATCCGACCCAGCCACCATGAAAGCGGCAGACATAAACCAACCCACCGACAGACGCATCAACGCCCTTACTCTTTGGTTCAACAGAACTCCCCATCACAAGCCACAAAAATCCACCACCCTCACCCCCTCCCAAAAAAAAAAAGGAGTAATGAGAAAGACAACAGTCTGATCATCAGTCTGAAATGCAAAACTTAGCATACAAGTCTCTAAAATCCCCACAAAACTCAACTCCTTGAGTAAATGCATATGCTCCTAACCAAAAACAATGAAAATAAAAAAAATCAACGACAAAACCCTCAATCCTGCACGCAATCAAAAACCTGCAAAAGAAACATCATAAAAAACCCAAACCCCAAGAATGACAGGATTGATAGATTTGACTGAACATTCCACTTTGGAGATAAACGCCAAGAAAAGAGACACAGAAAAACGCAAAACAAATTACAAAAAAAAAGAAAAAAAGAAAAAAAGAATCTGCTTCTATAGGAGTCACAGAACTGTAAAAAATCTTGTAAGAAATACCCTCATTTATAAACACATGAATTCTGATAACAGGAGCCTGCTTCATGCCTGATAATCAATGGCAAGCTTCCCAAGAACTGCAATTGCACATCATATAACAATTTCCTCAGCCATGTCCATCATAGTTTCATAGTTTGAATATAATTCATACGTCTAAAATCAAGCCAATAGTAGCAGTAATGGTCAAAGCTCCATCCAACAGAAAATAAAGTTCACATTCAGCATCATCAGATTGGCACTTGTATCATATAAAGTAAGTTTGCATTAGCAACACACTGAATCAACATTTAAATCATATAAATACCTCCAAAAGATTATGCCAGGTTGAAATGCCTTCATTTCTAAATATTCTACCCAATCTCATACACTCTTTCAAATCCACTGTTTGGTTCTTTCTCAAAGAAATGGAGAGAGACGTTGAAAGAGCTGAAATCAGATTTTCATTTCATTCTACTGAAATTTGTACATAAAGAATTTTAATTTTGAAATTCAAAAATTCAATCTATGCATTCTCTATGCTTAAGCTAATGAGCACTTTTACAATAACATTTTGTCATAAAAAAGTACCCATTAGATTACATGGCTCCAACTTGAAATATAACTAGAAAGGACACAAAAGGTTTGGCTAGTTTCAGTTTAACTGAACTGAACTTGTGTGACTTGATGGCACTGATATACTGCTACTTCCACCAAAGCTGCTTCATGCAACTTTCATCACTTCTCCTTGACATCAAGGCTGCACATTCCAAGTTGTTCTCTTAATAGCTCGAACCTGGACTTCTGCGACCACTTTGTAAAAATATCAACCATCTGCTCCTCTGAACTAGAAGTAGATTAACTGAACTTCATTTTTGAATTTTTCTCCTGGAGCCAGTGAAGTATTAACAGCTTTGCAACTCTTCATGGCAAACTACTCCTACATTGTAACTCTCGAGTGTAACATTTTTGCTCAAAGGAAAAAATGGAGAGAAAAAACAGAGAGAAAAATGAGCAGAACACTGAAATTGTCATTGATTTTTGCTTTTATACAAAATAAACACAAGCTTTCGGGAAAGAGGAAGAGTAGTTTACCAAACTACAGGTAGCTTAATTTTGGCCCCCTACTCAAGTGTCTATACTGACAGAAGGTTAACAAAAAGCTACCAAACCAAAGCTCAAATTACATCAAAAATCAGACACTGAATTGTTGCAGCTTGTGATGGCACAGTACTTCGAATACTACAAAAATCTGAACTCCATTCAACACTCGTCCTTGGCATCCAAGCTGCAAACGCCAAGCTTGTTTCTAAGAGCTTCAAATCTGATCTTCTGTAAGCCCTTAGTAAAAATATCAGCAACATTTTCTTCAGAGGAGCAGTGCACCATAACAATCTCGCCATCATTTTCTGCAACTCTAACAATATGATACCTCAGTTTAAAATGTTTTGTCTTTCCATGAAAAACTGGATTTCTAGCAATAGCAACTGCAGCTTTACTATCACACAACATTTCAGTAGGATTGGATTGAGCATGATGAACATCAACCAACAATTTCCTCAACCAAATAGCCTGATCCACAGCAGTTGCAGCAGCTATATATTCAGCTTCTGCAGTGGAATGTGCAAGTGCATCTTGCTTCTGAGAACACCAGCTTATAACACCTGATCCAAGAGTGAAACAAAAACCAGTGGTGCTTTTCATATCATCCTCAGACCCTGCCCAATCACTGTCACAAAAGCCAAGTAACTTAATTTCTCAGCCCTAGAATAGAAAACACCAAAACCAGCAGTTGCCTTCAAATGTCTGAATATTCTTTTGACACCTTTGAGATGAACTTCAGTAGGTGAATGCATAAACCTTGAAAGCAAACTAACAGCATGCATTATATCAGGTCTGGTAGCATATAAGTATAGAAGGCTCCCAATCATACTTCTATATACCCCTGCATCAACATTTGCTGAACCATCAATGGCTTGGTATTTAACTCCTGACACAGAAGGAGTACTAACTGGCCTGCAATTTGACATAGCAAATTTGCTCAAAATCTCACCTGTATAATTTCTTTGACAAATAAAAATGCCTTTGCTGGACTGATCTATCTCCATACCAAGAAAATATGTCATTTTGCCCAGATCATTCATGTCAAGAGTTTGCAGCATGTCAATCTTGAACCGATTCAAAGCAGCTTCATCATTTCCTATGACCAGCAAATCATCAACATATATGGAGACTATAACAAGTACTCCATTCTTCTTTTTCACATAAAGAGTAGCCTCACTTAGACTCTTTTCAAACCCAAGACTCAGCAAGTGATCATAAATTTTGCAGTTCCAAGCTCTAGGAGCTTGTTTTAGCCTGTTCAAGGCCTTCTTAAGCAAATATACTTTATTCTCTGCACCATCTTGTACAAACCCTTCTAGCTTCTCAACAAATATTTCTTCTTCCAATTTGCCATTCAAAAATGCTGATTTGACATCAAGATGGAAGACACTCCAGCCTTTGTGTGCTGCAAGAGCCAACAATAATCTGATAGTCTCATGTCTTGCTATAGGTGCAAAGGTCTCAGTAAAATCAATTCCAGCCAATTGAGAGTAACCTTTCACCACCAATCTTGCCTTATATTTGTTGATGGTGCCATTAGGATTCATCTTGACCCTATATATCCATTTAACACCTATGATGTTTTTATTTTTTGGTCTGTCAACCAAAGTCCAGCTGTCATTTTTTTCAATCATTTTGAGCTCCTCCTCCATTGCTGCTCTCCATGCATCCGAATTTGTAGCCTCATAAAAATTTGAGGGCTCAATAGTAGACAAATTGCATCTACTATAAATATCTTCCAGGGTTCTAGTTCCTCTCACTGGTGCATCATCAATTAAATCTGATTCATTGGTTGCATCATCAAAATCTGCTTCAAGTTCTGGTCTGTCATGCAATTTAGAAACCTGATCTGAGTTTGGTACTTGGGATTTTTCCCAATCCCATGCTGCACTTTCATCAAATTTAGCACTTCTACAAACTTCAATCTTTTGAGTCTTAAGGTTGAAAACTCTATAACCTTTAAACTATAGGCTATAACCAATAAAAACACAAGCATTTGCCCTTTCATCCAGCTTGCCTCTCTTTTCATCTAGTATAAACACATAGCAAATGCAACCAAAAACTTTCAAATGATCTACAGCAGGTTTGTTCCTTGACCAAGTTTCAAATGGAGTTTTGCCTTCAATAGCTTTTGTTGGCAATCTGTTCTGCAAATACACAACAGTGTAAACTGTTTCAGCCCAAAAATTCTCGGGCAAGTTCTTCTCAAATAGCAAACACCTGGCCATATTCAAAATAGATCTGTTTGTCCTTTCACTCACACCATTTTGTTGAGGTGTGTAAGGAATTGTGAGCTGATGATAATTCCATGTTGCTGCAAAACCTGCTGGAATCTATGAGCAGTATACTCAGCTGCATTATCAGATCTAAGTGTTTTAATGGTCAAGCCACACTCATTTTCAACCAAGGCTTTGAACTTGGTGAAAACATCAAATACCTCAGATTTCTGTTTTAGAAAAAACACCCAACAAAATCTGCTAAAATCATCAATGAAAGTCAGGAAATATCTATTTCCATTCAAAGAAGTAGTCTTCGTAGGATCACAAATGTCAGTGTGAACTAGCTGCAACTTCATAGAAGCTCTATGAGCCTGACCAGATGGAAAAGGCAATTGAGATTGCTTACCGAGCTCACACACTTTACAAACATGTTCATCAACATGAACAAGAGGCATACCAGAAACCATGCTGTTTTTTTGCATCAACAGCAAAGATTGATAACTAGAGTGACCAAACCTCTTATGCCAGACACAAGAATTATCAATAGTACTCACACAAGCCTGTATTTGAGTTTCTTTCCATTCAATAAGGAAACTCCTATCAAGCATTTTAACAGATACTAGCAAATTTCCAAATTCATCAAATACATCACACAACTTGTCATGAAAGTGCAGAGAGTATTTGTTTTCAACAAGCTGAGCAACACTAATAAGACTGTATCTAATCTTAGGAACAAATAAAACATCATAAATAAGCTTGATACCGTTGGTGTATCAACAATTGCTACTCCCCTTCCTTTGACTTCTACTAGCTCTCCATTACCCAATCTAACTTTAAAGGTAAAACTCTCATCAAGGCTTTTGAAGCAGCTCTCATTTGGAGTCATATGGTGAGTACATCCACTGTCTATCAACCAAACATTACAACTGAGATTCACAGCATAGCAAGCTTCCACTCTAGTGGCCACAAATAACTTCTCCTCTTATTGATCAAGTTTCTTTGCAATTTGAGCTTGTGATGTAGAGTTTACTTTTGATTTGCAGACCTTTTCAACATGACTGAATTGCTTACAAGACCTGCATTGAACACCAGGTCTGAACCAGCGAAAATTTTCTGTGTGAGTTGTCTTTTTGTAGTGAATATGAGGAAATGACTCCTTTTTACCCTTGTATCTACCACCCTTGAAATCTCTTTGAATTTTTTTTTTCTTTTCTTTCCATTTCTTGTTAGAAAACAGCTTCTTTGCTCCTTCTTTTTGTTGGCTTTCACCTTTTTCGATAGCCAAGAAAGCACCTTCAACATTGCTTTCGGACCTTAACGCTTTTCTCTGTTCAATAGCTTGTAAAGAGTTGATAAGTTCAGTTAAGGGAATTTTGGAAAGATCCTTGGAGTCTTCCAAAGAGGAAATCTTGCGCTCAAATTTTTCTGGCAAACTAACCAGCACCTTCTCAACAACCCTCTTATCAGAGAGTTCTTCATCACCCAGCAATCTAATTCGATTCATAATCTTCATTATTCTATCTGAAAACTCTTTGACAATTTTAGACTCATTCATCTTCAAAACAGCAAATTCCCTTTTCAGATTCAAAACGTGCATCTGAATTCCCTTGGCGTCACCCTGAAACTCTAGCTTCAACAAGTCCCAGGCTTCTTTGGCTGTTTCACAGCGCATAATTCTGTCAAAAATCTCATCAGTTACGGTAGAATGAATGCAAGTCAAGGCTTTATACCTTTTTGTAACTTCTTCAGTATGCTGCTTTATCTGAACCAAGGTGGGATTCGACCTTAAAGGTGGTGGTTGTTGGTCGGTTTCCACCACTTCCCATAGGTCGAAAGCTCTTAGATAAGCCTTCATCTTGACTGACCAAACTGGGTAGTTATGGCCATTGAAAACTGGTGTTTTTGTTGTGAAACTAGAACCAGATTCCATTTTTGGGGTTCAAGCTGTTTGGGTGTCACTCACTCTCAATTTTCACTCCTTTATAGCCTCTCAAGGATTAGAGGAGGCTCTGATATCATGTAACGTTTTTGCTCAAAGGAAAAAATGGAGAGAAAAAACAGAGAGAAAAATGAGCAAAACACTGTAATTGTCATTGATTTGTGCTTTTGTACAAAATAAACACAAGCTTTCGGGAAAGAGGAAGAGTAGTTTACCAAACTACAGGTAGCTTAATTTTAGCCCCCTTACTAAAGTCTATACTGATAAAAGGTTAACAAAAAGCTACCAAACCAAAGGTCAAATTACATAAAACATCAGACACTAAATTGTTACAGCTTGTGATGGCACAGTACTTCAAAGACTACAAAAATTTGAACTCCATTCAACATCGAGGCCATTGATCTTGTAGCTTCTAAATAATTTGCAGGTTCTTCAATGACTATATTACACCTTTCATTGATATCAATTAGTGTTCTGGTCCCTCTAATAGCAAAGTCATCATCAAATTCATTGTCATTCACCTGCCCAACTTCATCATTCTCAAAATCAAATGCTAGTTCATCATTTGCTATAGGAACCTGATCTGCAGCAATAATTTGTGAACTTTCCTAGTTCCAAGTTGCACTTTCATCAAATTCACACTTTTGCTCACATCAACAACACTAGCCTTTGGATTTATTTCAATTTGTTTCCATTGAATAGAAAAACTCATTTCATTCATTCTTACAATGAACAATTTTGAACTAGATTTATCTTAAACTTCACATATTTTGTTATGAAAATTGTTAAAGACTTGAATTTTAACTAGATACTTAGCTAAATGGACTATATTTTGCTTTAGTTGGAGTAGGTAAAAATCATATCATTATAATCTATCTTTCTTTTTGTAGTGTGATATGTACAAGATCTTTGATGTAAGTTGTTCACTTACTACCAATGTACAATATATACAATAAAAAGGAGAAGACCAAAGCATGTATGGTCTTCAATGTCCCTCCTTATGTTTATTTTCTAGTTTTCCTCTCTTTCTGCTAATCTCTCTTTGTTTTTCACCTTTTGCTTTCTTGCTTCTGAGCTCCAACAAAGTGGTATTAGAGCAAGCATTCTTGAGGGACCTATAAGAAAGGGAAACACGAGTGTATGTGAGGGAGTGTTGTGTAATCAACTATCACAGCAATGTTTTCTTAATTGTGTAATCAGAACGCAAGGATATTGTGGCTGTTCAGACCAGGAAAGGTACAAAGTATATTCATGATGTTCTCTTTATACCTTCCTTGAGTCAAAATCTGTTGAGTGTTGCACAGATGCTTAGAAAAGGCTATTCAGTTTTATTTATTAACGATGCATGTTATATCTATGATTCTCATGGTGCTTGCGAGAATCAAGATGGTAGAGAATAGCTTTCCTATTACATGGAATTCTCCTTGCTTGCATGTTGTTTATGTATGAAAATCTGATGAAAATTCTTTATGGCATAAGAGATATGGTCACTTTAATTTAAGGTCTCTTAAGTTCCTTCAATCTAATGAACTTGTTAGAGACTTACTAGAAATTCATGTGAATGATGATGTATGTTCAAGATGTTAATTTGGGAAGCTGCATAGATAGGTTCATGGAGAGTAAGCCAGAAACTTGAGCTAGTTCACATAGATGTATGTGGTCCAATGTAGACTACCTCGCCTAGTCATAATCTCTATTTCATTCTTTTTATTGATGATTACACCGAGATGACTTAGGTGTATTTTGTGAGTAGTGATGCATTAAAATCACTTTAACAAGTGTACTAGTCGCTCCAAGTAATATAATGATAAGAAGAGTGTTGAACCCATGAGGATTGTGTCTAATTAAGTACCAAAATAATTAATCTAAATTTATTTGAATAATCAAAAAGGAGAATAAACTTTAATAAAGAATAAAAAGAAAATAGTAATTAAAATAAAGTTAATCAAGATATGAGATACTAAGGCATTGACTTCACCATAATCAATCAATATAAATTCTGGAATAATATATTTTCACAACCAATTTGTTAAGTGTTATTGCATGTGATGTCGGATTTCCCTAAATTAATTAAATAGCTTTCTCAAATCAAGCTAATCCTTCACTTGTTTGTCAAATTAATCATATCTCTATGTAATTTTAAACAAATTGATGAGTATTAAATTATATGGAAACCTCTAGTTTAAGAAGGAGGAGCTACAAACTCTCTTCTCTTCCTCTACTACCACATGTGAGCTAATTACCTTTCGGTCTCATAGTTTAACACACGGTTTATATTATTATTGGTCTAATTTATGCAATTCTTTCTCAAGTTCATGCATAAATCACTAAATCAATTGAAAGATGATCAGGCTTCCAATGCATTAAGTTTAATAATATAAACTCCTCATGTGAATAACCTTATTTGAAAGTATAAAATCACAAAATCTATATTAAATTAATTAGACTACATCGTAGCCTTAGTAGAATAAATTAGTTCATAATAAAAATTATAAAATCTAAAACCATAGTTATGAACATTCGAATGTCAAACAATATATAAAAAGAATCAAAGGAAAAATAAAACCTAATTTGAGGAAGTTGAACTTCTTGATCTCTTATTGTTAATGAACCTTTATCTTGATTTCCAATAATGCCCAAAAGAAGATTGCCAATAGCCTTCACAAGCTCTCTAATTCTAAATTTGGATGGGTATTTATAGGATTTTAGAAACCCTAGTTGGAATAGAAGTAGGACTTGGAACAGAATAGGAAACTTGAATTTTGGATGCTGACAACATGGTGTTGATACCTCGAATTACGTGTCGACACAAAATAGGAAAAAAGTCTGATTCTGGACTCTTAACGCATGGTGTCGATACCTCGATTATGTGCTGACGCTACACCCATGTCGGGTTTCTAGTCTCTTTTTGCAATTTCTTCAATGGTAAAATAGCAGATCTGGTCTTCCAGCTTTTGTACGATGAGCACTTAGATCTCAAAACTCAAGATTTATTCATTTAGGTCCTAAAAAGCGCCCTTCTTCTTGCAATTCAGTCCCTCAACTTTCAGAAGATGTTCAATTAATCCCAAAAGCTCCTATTTTTATGCATTCAAGCCCTTTTCTACACAACGAATGAGAATTATGTAGAATTAAGAAAAATCCCATAAAACTCAATAAAATCTCATAAAACTCATCCAAACATCAATAATATTAAAGCAACAATTCCACATTAATATGTATACAAATTCAACTCATTAAGTAGCGAGGCACATGTTTTCTCTGTGTTTCAAAAGTTCAAGGTACTTGTTGAGAACCAAAGTGGTTGCAAAATCAAAATTTGAGACTAATAATGGAAAAGAATACACTTTGAAGGAGTTTGATAGCTTTTGTGAGGATGCAGGGATAGCACATTAGTTAATTGTTCCTTATACTCCTGAACAGAGTAGAGTTTTTGAGGGGAAGAAGAGAACGATTATGGAGATGGCTAGATGTATGTTACATGAAAAGAAGCTGCCTAAGAATTTTTGGGCAGAGGCTATTTTCACAGCTATATATTTGTTGAATGGTTTGCCTACTAAGGTTATGCAAGGAAAAGCACCTATGGAAGCCTAGTATAGTGTTAAGCTTTTTGCACATCATTTGAAAAATTTTGGTTTGATTTGCTATACTCATGTGCTTGATGCAAAGATAACCAAGCTTAACGTTAAAGCTAAAACTAGCACTTTAGTGGGTTATTTTACAAAATCAAAAGGCTACAAGGTATACAACTTGCAATTTGGAAAAGTCACAATTCATAGGGATGTACAAATTGATGAAGATTCCCACTGGGATTGGGACAAGAGATTTGTTGTGAAGAATGTTGAGGTAGCCTTTACCAATGATAATGCATAAGCTTCCAAAAAGAAAATTTCAGCTTTTAATGTAGCTAATGTAGATGCTCACCATGACTCCCATATCTTGAAAACTAAATCTTTGTCTGAGATTTATGAAAGATGCAATTTGGCTGTTTTAGAGCCCAACACTTATGCAGAAGCTTCCAAGCATGACATATGGAGGCATTCAATGCAAAAGGAGATACAGATGATTGACAAAAATGATAATTGGGAATTAACTTCCTCACCACAAGAAAAGAATGCAATTGGATTCAAATGGGTGTTTAGAACCAAGATGAATCTTGATGGCTCCATTTACAAGCACAAGGCCAGATTGGTAGTGACAGGATATGCTCAGCATGTTGGATTTGATTATGGTGATGCTTTTGCACCAGTTGCACGGCATGACACAGTCAACATGTTGATTGCTTTATCTGCTAACTTTGGCTAGACAATTTAGCATATGGATGTCAAATCAGCTATCTTGAATGGTCATTTGTAGGAAGACATTTATGTGTAACAACTTGAGGGCTTTATTATTTCTAGTCATGAAGATGAGGTTTACAAGCTTAGAAAGGCTTTATACGAGTTGAAGCAAGCACCTAGATCCTGGTACAGTAGTATTGATTCATTTCTCCTTCAACAAGGATTTCAAAGGAGTAGGAATGAGCCAACCTTGTATGTTAAATGCAACTCAGGTCAATCTTCCAAGGATATAGCATTTTCAGTAGAAAATTTTGATTCAAATCTACTTGTTTGTGATGCTAAATTATTGGTTTCTTTGTATGTTGATGATCTATTGATTATTGGTAGCAATTCACAGTTATTGCTTAGTTTTAAGGTTGGTTTGATAAAAGAATTTGAGATGTCTAATCTAAGGGAGATGAGTTACTTTTAGGCATGGAAATTCATGAACATGAATCTGGTATATTTGTTTCTTAACATAAATATGCTCTTGATGTCTTGAAGAAATTTAGTATATAGATCAATGCAAGTCTATGCCTACTCCTTTAGTTCAAAATTCAAAATTGACTATTAGAGATGGTTATGAGAAGATAGAAGCTTCTATTTATAGGGGTTTGGTTAGGAGTCTCTTGTACCATATTACAACCTGACCAGATCTCATGTATGCGACAAGCTTGTTATCTACATTCATGCAGTCTCCTAGTCAAGCTCATTTTGGTGCTGCAAAAAGGGTGTTGTGATATTTCAATGGCATTTTAGATTATGGTTTATGGTTTGAGAAGCATAAACATGGAACTTAGCAATGTTTTTCTGGTAGTAACTGGGCAAGAAGTCATGAAGATGCCAAGACCAATATCTTTAGTTCTATAGCTTTTTCTTGGATGTCTAGAAAGTAATAGGTTGTTGCTTAATCAACTGCAAAGGTTGAGTACATTATTGCAGCAAAAGCTGTAAATCATGCAACATGGATTAATAAGATGCTAATTCATATGGGATGTTATCAACTCAAGCCTTGTGTTATCCACTATGATAACAATTTTTCTATTATGATTGCTAACAATCCTATCCAGTATGGCCATACTAAGCATATCAATTTCAAATTTCATGTGCTTAGGAATATGGTGCAGAGTATAGAAATTGAGATGGTTTACTGTGACACTAATGAATAGGTTGTTGATATATTCACCAAGGCTTTATCAAAGTTCAAGTTTGAAATGTTCAAAAGCAAGCTTGGAGTACCTAGGAAAAATTCAGGAGGAGTGTTGAAGACTTGAATTTTAACTAGATGCTTAGCTAAATGGAACTATATTTTGCTTTAGTTGAGTTGGTGAAAATCATATCATTATAATCTATCTTTCCTTTTGTAATGTGATATATGCAAGATCTTTGATGTAAGTTGTTCACCTACTACCAATGTACAATATATACAATAAAAAGGAGAAGAACAAAGCATGTATGGTGTTCATGTTCCCTCCTTATGTTTATTTTTTGGTTTTCTTCTCTTTCTATTAATCTCCCTTGTTTTTGACCTTCTATTTTCTTACTTCTAAGTTTCAAAAAAAATGCAAGACATAACCATGTTCAATCAACTGACCCACACTTATCAAGTTATAGCTACTATTAGGCACAAACAGTACATCATGAATGTATTTGATACCTGTTTGTGTCTCAACAGTAGCTATTCCCTTGCCTTTGACCTCCACTAATTCTCCATTTCCAAGTCTGGCTTTTGAATTATATTTTTTTGTCAAGGCTTTTGAATATGGCTGCATTTTAGGTCATGTGGTTTGTACAACCACTATTAATCAACCATGAGTCACTGTTTAAGATGGCTACACTGCAATCTTCAGTCTTTATAGCCATAAATAAATGCTCTTCCTCTTCAACAATTTCTACAATTTTGGCTTACTAAACTTGATCTAAACCTTCTTTATAGACCCTTTTAACATGTCTAAACTACTTACACTTTTTGCATTGAACTCCAAGCCTAAACCAACAATATTTCTCAAAATGGCCTTTCTTTTTGCAATGAAAGCAAGGTGCATATCTCTTCTTTTCATTTTTGTATTTGTTGTTTTCATACCCTTCCTTTTCTCAGTTTCTCAAATCATTGAACTTCATGTTTTCATCATCTTTGGCTTCTGCTTTATCTATGTCAGTTGCCAAATATGCTCCTTCAACATAGTTTTCAAGCATTACAGCCTTTCTTTGCTCCACAGCTTGCATTGCATTGGCTAATTCATTCAAGGAGAGTTGAGACAAATCTTTGGAATCCTTCAAGGATGAGATCTTGTGCTCAAATTTCTCTAGTAGACTCACCAAAACCTTCTTAACTACTATCTTATCAAATAGTTCTTCCCCCTTTCAATCTTATCTTTTTCTCCACCTTCGTCAATCGGTTGGAGAACTCCTTAACTGTCTCTGTATCCTTCATTCTAAGGAGTGTGAACTCTCTCTTCAGATTGAGAACCTCAATTTGTCTTGCCTTGTTATCACTTTGGAACTCCACTTTTAGCTTGTCCCATGCCTCTTTGCTTGTCTCACAAGTTAATTCTATTAAAAATTTCATCGACCACTGTTGAGTGTAAGCAGGTCAAGGCTTTGTATCTTTTGACACCTCTTCTGCGTGTCTCTCAATTTGAGTAAGAGTAGCATTTGAAGGAAGTGGAGCTAGTTGTTGATCTATCTCAACCACTTCCCAAAGTTTGAAAGCCCTTAAATGTGCTTGCACATCTTCCCTACCGAAATTGTGTAGTTTCAGCCAGTAAAAATAGGGGTCTTTATGGTGAAACTGGTATTTGATTCCATTGCAACCAGATTTAAGGTGATGGTGTATTTAGGTTTCATTCAAATATCTTAGTTTCACAAGAACTCATGAGCTCTGATACCATGTTCGGTTTTTTCTCAAAGAAATGGAAAGAGACGTTGAAAAAGCTGAAATCATATTTGCATTTCATTTTATTGAAATTTATATATAGAGAATTTAATTTATGAAATTCAAAAATTCAATCTATGCATTCTCCATGCTTAAGCTAAGGAACTCTTTTACAATAATATTTGGTCATTAAAAAGTACTCATTAGATCACATGGCTCTAACTTGAAATATAACTAGAAAGGACACAAAAGGTTTGGCTAGTTTTAGTTTAACTAAACTTGTGCAGCTTGATGGCATTTATATACTGCTACTTCCACCAAAGCTACTTCATGCAACTTTCATCATCCACTGAAATTAGAAGATTGAAAGGGGTTAAAGAAAAAAGCCAAAAAGAAAGAAAGAAATAGCCAGAACCAACATAAATCACCTGGACTACCAATGATTTCTGAGTTTCCAAATCCTCAATATATTTTCTTTGACAAATCTAAGACCGTTTTACCTAGATTTCACCCACTACTAAATCGATAACCAACAAAAGATGAAAAGAATTGAGATAATGTATACATTGGTATCGCCTCTTTTCTCTTCTCCATCACTACCCTTATGGGCAACCCTCCATTAGACTCTATTCTCTCTGCCAACTAACAAAACACTCATAAAGATACTATACCTTTTTTAAAAAAGGTTGATAATCAAAAGAACTTTCTCCTTAAATTTGCTAAGAGGAACATCTTTCCCATCAATATCTGCATAGAAAAGAACAGCTTGCACTTTACTATCTACAGGGAAAACACCAACAAATTGGGAAATTGAGAACCCCCTAACATTATAAGAAAGGATGGGGAAAAGTTCTTTTACAAGCTCGAAGCACTCACCTTTTACAGTGAAATCATAGACTCAACTCTGCAGTTGCTCTTGCATAAATGGGTATCACCTCTCTCTTCTACATCAAACCCTCTTGGCAACCCAACCTCTCTCTTCTACATCAAACTCTCTTCTAGCCTTTTAATACGCTAAAGTCACTCTAACAAGTGTACCAGTCACTTCAAGTAATATAATGATAAGTAGAGTGTCGAACCCACAAGAATTGTGATTAACTAAATACTAAAAATAATTAATTTAAATTTATTTGAACAATAAAAAAGAATAAAATTTAATAAAAAATAGTAAAAAATAATAATTATAATAAACTAATCAAAATATAAGTGATTCACCAAATACGCACTATTTTTAGGCAAGTGAACTTAATCAATTATGCAGTATAAGATGAGTAAGATATTATTCCTTTGAGGACTATTCTACACTACCAAAATGATATTAATCTAGTCTAAGTTAAATTAACTAATTAATGGAACAAAGTTAAATTACTTAAACTAAAACTACTTGAACTAAAGGAATTTTCTAAGTAAAAGAAATTATGAATGGAAAGGAATTAGGGCTTAGATTTCATTTAATTTTGAATTATACAACTATTTAATTAATCTAATTCAAGTTTAAATAACAGCGTTATCACATGAGATGACGGATTCCCTCAATTAATTAACTAACTTTCTCAAATCAAGTTAATTCTTCACTTATTAAATTAATCATATCTCTATGTAATCTAAAACAAATTAGTGATCATTAAATTCTATGAAAACCTCTAGCTTAGGAAGGGGAGGGAGCTCCTAACTCTCTTCTCTTCCTCCACTACCACATGTGACGCTAATTACCTCTCAGTTTCATAATCTAACACATGATTTTTATTATTAGTAATCTAATTTATGCAATTCTTTCTCAAGTTTATGTATAAATTATTAAATTAGTTGAAAGGTGATTAGGCTTTTAATGCATTAAGTTCAATAACATAAACTCATCATGTAGACAACCAATAAATCTTGAATTAAATTGAAAAAAAGTCACATAATCCAAAAATTAAAATCCATCCAATCCTAATTCAAGAAATTTAGCCACACATAATTAAGTTCTAAATAGCCATAAACAAGAAAAACCACCAAAGAACCATTGTAAAAGTTAAATTAAGAATGAACAAAACCAGTCCCAAAGAAGAGCAAAGCCGAATGAACAAAACTAGTCCCAAAGAAGAGCCAAGCCAAACTGCAACTTCTTCCTTAATGGCGTGCTGCTGTGGACTATATGTTATAGATTTCCCAAGCAAGGGTGGCAGAGAAGAAAAACATAGCTGCTGTGTTGTCTCCCTCTACAGATTTTTTTTCAAAACAGGGTTGGGGAAGAAGGAAAACAGAGATGGCGCCCTCTTTCTATGCGTGGACTATATATATATAGAATAAACCTTCTAGTTGTTTCCCTTTTTTTTTTTTTTATTTCTTCTGACCCATGTTCTACTAGGGCTCTTGAACTTTTGGGCCTAGTATGCTACCAACCCACAAATTGAAAATATAGCTCAGTTCTTTTTTTTTTTTTTTTTTACAATTTGCCCAGCCTTTTTTTGTGTTAAAGTTGTGCATCTCAACTAGAATTTTGTCTTGAAATTGATTGAACTAGGTTGAGCTTATAAAAGATAAATTGTAGCTCTACTTCTTAGCTTTCCAACGCCTCATGAATCACCTTAATCTTATGTCTGGAAAGAAAGTTATAGCTGAATTATTATTGCATACTTGAACTGCCAATTGTTAAAAAATTAATTCCCATTAAATTTGTTCTTTAATATTCACCTACAAAACAACAAGATTAATGTAAATTTAGGTGAGACAAAGTTATAAAATACCAATAAAATTAATTTCCAAGCTAAAAAAAGGGTAAATAAATGTATATACATTTAAACTCATTAATAAGGTATTAAGGCATTGACTTCACCATAACCAAACACCATAGCCAAACAATATAGATTTTAGATTATTATACTTTCAAGATGTTACTACTAATGTGACAATGGGATTTTCTATCATATTCAATATACTTTCTTAAGCTATACCAAACCTATCTTTATCTATTAACCCACTATATCTCTATATGAATTTAAATAAAATGCATTATATTATGTGAAATTCCCTAGTTTACGTGAAAAATTATGTTCACTTATCACTAATGTTGCACAAATCATGTTGGTTTATCTTTGGTTTTTGTTTAATTCATGGTATATATTATTAAAAGTTATTGCATAAAATCTCATTTCGGTCTCAATTATACTTTCCAAATCAGTTTTAATGGTGATCAAGCATTAAAACAATAATATATATTTATCATGAAAAACTAATCTCAAAAGTATAAAATCATAAAAACCTATATTGAATTGATTTGACTACATCATAACCCTAGTTGCCTAAATTAGTTCATAATAAAAATAATAAAACTTGAAATTGTAGTTATGAATATCCAAGCATCAAACAATAGAAAAAAGAATCTAAAGAAAAACAAAACCCAATTTGAAGAAATTAAAATCCTTGATCTGCTATTGTTGATGCATCCTCTATCTTAATCTTTAAAAGTGCCCAAAAGAGGGCTGCCAGTAGCCTCCAAAGCTCTCCCTTTAATTCTGAACTTGGATGAGTATTTATAAGATTTTAAAAAACCCAATTAGAATAGAAGTGAGACTCACACCAAAATAATAAGTTAGACACAAATTTTCTAAAAATACATAAGGGACCAACACCTTCAATAGGCACCGACACCTTCTATTTAGCATAGATTGAAATCATCGTGTCGGGTTTTTGGCCTTCTAAGCAATTTCTATTAATGGTAAAATGATAGTTCTAGTCCCTAACTTTTGAACTTTGCACAACTTAATCCTCAACTTTTTGATATCTACAATTTGCTCCTAAGAATTATAATTTCTTCTAATTGTGTTCTTTCTTACACAAAAAATGAAAATTGTGTAAAATCAAGTAAAATCTCATATAACTCATTTAAATATCAATAATATCAAGGCAAAATTTTCATATTACTATCTATATAAATTTAGCACATTAAATTCCCCCAAACTTAAGTTTTACTCATCCTTGAGTAAAATAAAAAAAAAAAACCAAAAAGAAAATAAAACCTAACTCACTTTCGGAGAAATCACGATTGCACTTAACATGTGCAAGAAGCCTTTAAATCTCTAGGTTACCCTAGTGGATGAGTTATGTCTCATGAGGGTTTTCAGCGAATTTACCCACAAAATCTCAATGTAAGAATATAACTACATGATATGCATGGAAAGAAAATTTAGGAATTAAAGTTCAATTAGATATAAAGTCTCAAATATTCAAGAGTTTTCATGCACTCACTTAAAGTCAGATACTCTATCTTATTCTTCACACCACTTGTCAAAAGATTTAGCTCATGAGCACTTAGTGTGTGTGAAAATTCACAGTAAGAAGTCTCGAGTTTAGACCTTCACACTTTAGCACTTATTATTATTTTCTTCTTCTTCTTTTTTTTTTTTTGTGTGTGTGTGGAGTTTCCTTAGACTTTCTAAGTTACCCATTTAACAAGCTTTTTACTAATGGCTCCTAAACTAGTTGGCTTTAGGGCATTAGGTGAAAAGACACCCCTAAGAACATACTTACTCAAGTAATAAAGACCACGAAACATTCGACTTCTCTTTTTTCTTTTTTCTTTTTCTTTTTTTTTTTAGCCATATAACACATTCTTCCCAAAGCTATCACTTGTCTTTTGATGCGTATACTAACATTTGTGATGAAAACACCCAATTACTCAATAAGTCATAAACTCAAAGTGCTTTGCATACTCATATTTCAAGTCACCGTTTGACATGAAAGTTGACATGGGTCTCGTGCCTCCCTTATTACTAAGCAACTAGAAACATTGGAGTAGAAATTAACAAACTCCTTTGTGTGTTGGCTTCTTTTTGTTCTCTTTTATTTTTTTCTTTGATGTGCTTTTTAGGTGCTATTAAGTTTTCTCTCTAAACTTCTTACTACAAACTTGTGCTCAAGTGAAATATAATACTCATGAACTTGAACTTCATCACAATGGTGCTATTTTTCAGATTTTATATCTCCTCTAAGATTCAAAGATTTTAGAGGTTTTTGAATTTTCAATTCAAGAATATTCAATTCCTTGACACTAATTGAACCAACTCCTAAAAAAATACCCTAATTTCTAAAGAAAGAAAAATGTGTTTCATGCAAATATGAATGCAACTAATGTAAGAATGGACACCTAAAAGTTATTCTTTCCCCCAAACTTAAATCAAACATTGTCCTTAGTGTAAAATAAAAGTAAAAAAAAAAAAAAAAAGAGAAACTTCCTAGGTTTTGTACTTGAAGACTTAAATTTTAAGTTTTGAGGTTGAGTTGTCTTCAATTAGAGGAGA